ATTTAGCAAGCTGATCTTGATACAGATTCTCTAATGGATAATCAGATAGTAACAACCACTACATTGGCTTCAAATACTTCATCCACTCAACCTTCAATATCTCCAACCAATCAACAAAATTATGTGAATAGTGGCATCAATCGTTATCCTCAATCTCAAGCTCAACAACAGCATCAACAAACACGACAACCACAAACTCGTTATTATACTCCAAATTCTTCGCCTAGTACTTCTATTAATAGTATCACTAATTCGGCTGCTGCTCATTCAACTGTTTCTCCTTCCGTAAACGGTTCAATCACTTCTAAACGTCAGTCGACTGATACTAATCTCTATGGCACGAGTAGTATTTCTGGAATGGCTGCTCAACATGCTCAACCAAGAAATGCTACTATATATAACAATAGTCTTAATAGTAATTATATGATGAATAGTCAGCATGGTCAGCAACAACAGCAATCTTATACTGCTCAACAACAACAGCAGCAACAACAATCTCATGTTACTCCACAACAACAACAACAATCTTATGCTACTCAGCAACAACAAACTGCTCAGCAACGTTATAATTCTACTGATAGTTTCATTTCTCCAAATGTTGTCAGTAATATAAGTACCGGTTATTCATCTCAGCAAACTACTTCCTCTAATGTTCAGCAACCTCAACAACAGTTTCAACATCAACAAATTCAACAGCAGCAATTACAGCAAAGTCAGGGTCATCAACAAGCGAGTCGGAGTCCTTATCATACTTCTCCTAATATTACCGCTCAACAGCAACAATCAATACATAATAGGTCTTCTATTAGTCAAAATCAAACTTCTATTAAGTCTTCTCCACTAATAACGAAACCTGCAAATCAAAAAACTATGGTACAATCTGGTGTATCTGCTCAGCAAGTTTTGCCTCCTCAGCAGTTGCATTCGCAACAACAATCTCAAATTCAACAACAATCTCAATTGCATCAACAATCGCAGCAATTGCATCAACAATCGCAATTACAGCATTCTCAATTACAACATAAACAACAACAACAGCAACA